CATCGATCAACTACCATTAATTTTACAAACTCTATCAACTTCTTTCTCGTTTTGTTTTGTTTTTCTTTTAGCTGCATTTGTTTTCTTGACTCACTATGTTTTATTATTCTTTCAGTCTATCTAATTTGTTTCTATGCTTGTGTCCTCTGTTCCCTACATTTAAGTCAGACTTCTTGTCATAAGTTGAGTCACTCATGACTTGTTGGTTGAGAGTTTTGGTTTTTCATAGTGTAGTGGTTAAGCCTAAACGTAAAGCCACTGAGGGCTGCATAGGCAGTGATGGTACGCTCCGCTGTAGCACTGCTGGTGAAATTAAAAGTCCAAAACCAACGTCTTCAGTTATATGGGTTTATTCACTCATCTCAATCCAATGTTGAGTGGTCACTCATCCAAGTTCACCAACAAAACTAACAGGTCCAACTGTGTGCTGCATGCCGCGATGTGATTTGGTCAAAAACTGTTTGCCCTTTCTTCCGTCCAGCAACACCTGTTACCTGACAGAAGGTTCCAACCTTAAATGTGTGCCCTTAATCCCTTAGAGTGCCACCTGGTGGATAAATTAGTGTCCTACACATATTGCCACGCATTCTGTAATTGACTCCTACACATAGGAGCTAAGTAAGACACAGAGAATAAAGGGATTTTGAACTGAGATTTGGTTTTGTTTCCAGATGGGACCACACACATGTACAAGGACCAATGGAAAATTAAAAATCTGACCATTCTTCCTGTTTTTACAGTTTCTGGCTCTGATAAAGGTGTATTTTAGGGGACTTTTGTAAATATGTAAACAAACACCATCTAAAAACCGGCCTCACATTGTTTACGTTCATTCACTGATCATAGACAGTAACACTAAAATCACCACACCAGAAAAATTAGTCTGGTCCTGATATGGATTAAGAATGTATCAGATGGAGAACATACATTGTTGTTGGTGTAGTAAATGAAGCCATGCCAGCTATCATTGCTTATAATAAACTAAGCCAATGAAGATCAATTGAATACAATGAGACCAGAGCATGTAACTGCATGAAAACAAGTGGTAAACTCATCACCAAGTCTCTTCACATCCCTGATCTCGACCGCAGCTGTTACAACAGGATGAGTCACTTTTAATTTGAAAGAATCCAATGATTGCAATATATGTACCTTTCATATTGAGGATCATTTTCAAAGTGTGTTTTTTAGCTCAGAGAATCTCAAAGCCAGCTGCTCACACACTGAGCCACATTGTAATTACAAGGACTTGCAGCACATGGAGCCAGTACCTAGTGGCCCCAACCCACCAAATCTTCGTCACAAACCTCTGCAGGCTCGTCACGACTTAAGATGTGGCTGACAGTCAAGAGGGCATCTCTTGGTCTGACGACAGTTACAGTGCAAGGACAGCACAGGAAGTGCTTTATTAGCATGTTGAGAAGCCTTCTGTAGTGGCCTGAAACCAAAAACAAAACCACCCATGTGCCTTTCTAGATGTGCAATTACATTAGTAAACTCTGGATTTATTAAGGGTAGTGCACTGCTCAGTTTCACATACTTACTGACCATGAGGAAGCCGCCACATAAATCGGAAAGACTGTACATCTTATTTTGGTTTTCAATGGTCAGTGGACAAGCAACAAAGCTTTATGTGTGTAGGGCCCTCCAAAACCATAAACACATGCTCAAACTATCAGCTTGCTGCAAATTCTCCACAGCCATGTGTACATTAAAACAGTGACGTCTTCTTCTTTGCATAAGAAAGGTGAAGCTGATTGTTTGTGATATTTGTGGTATTTATGGTTCTGATAATGAGGGGCAGCTGTGCAGGTTATAGACAGTAACAATAAGTGCTCTAATGTACATAAAATGCAAACTGCAGCTTTGTGCATTCAAGAACCATTTGTCTTTTTTTCAGTTTCATCAGATTTCTGCTGTTTTTCAGAGACCTGAGATGTTTTTGGCTGAATAAATAAGACTTTATGAAATAATGTTGTAAAAATTATGAAGTAGGAAGAAGGATTTTAAATAGTTATATATTATAAGGTACTGCTGCTGAATCTCACCTGTCATTAGAGGCATTAAATCAGAAAAAAAACCTCTTTACAATATTTGCAAATGCTATGACAAAAAAAAGGATTTTTTTTTACCTTTAATTTGTAGGATGTTTTTAGTATGCTGGAGAACATTGTTCCTAATAATGACTTATTACCAATCTGAAAAGCATTCAGAATATATTAAAGGAGGAGTAAACTGTCCGTTCATACACAGCTGTGGTTCTGTAAATGGGATACAAACAAAGTGATTAGACTTCGATTGAAATATGCTCTTCTAGCTCTAAATGCTGTCGTAATGTCAACAAGCTTTCCACATTCATTGACTCCACCTGTAACAAAGTCGTTGGGTTCAAGCAAGCTATTTTTAATAGGAAAGTTATTGCAGAGATGTATTCAGCAATGCAGATGAAACTCCAATTTGAATATGTTTGTTGAGGACAATCACAAGATTAATATTATCAAGATAATACTCAGATTATCATAAGAAAAGTAAAGGAAACTCAAAGATATAAAACGAATTCCTGCTTCCCATAGACACCCAGTGGAGCGTTTTGCAATGAACACCTAATCTATCAAACTGCATCCAACTGAGCAACTCGATGACACTGACTGTACCAGATAGGATTTCTAATCAGAAATTTAATTATAAATCTAACACACACCCACATCCGGCTCAGGGATCCGTCCTGCAGTCCTGTGGAGCTGATGTTTTTAATGAGCTGGGAGACAAGTACTTCAAAGCCCAGCAAAGCTGACTTTAATACACGGATTTATTTAACTGTGCATGAAACAACAGCCGCAAACTAATCAGTTTGTCCTCTTCTCCTGACCGGCCTGTACCCTCTGAGTACCAGCAACCAGGAAGAGAAGGAATTTAGCCCCACACGCCAACGTCTTCTCAGAAGCTGTGTAGTGGGCAGAGCCAATCTGACATAGTGATGACATTCAGAACTTTTTAAAGTAACTGGTCTGGTTTAATGTGTCTCATGTAGATCTCTGGTTTTAGACTAAAGCTACACTCATTAACATTTTTTTGAGCTAAAATCAATTTTGAAAAAGCAGAAAACAACAACAGTGTGTGTCTGCTGGTATATTATGTTATATTCTATTATATTATATTATGTTATATTATATATGTTTTTACAGTGTCAAATTTAGTAAATATCTCTTCACAGTCTCCTAGCTCTTCATTCTGAATTCACTAAAAAAAATTGGGTATTGGTACAAAAACCTGGTTCTTAATGACTGCTGCACATTTGTATTAGCACACAGGACAGGGGGGAGGGAAGGAGAGGGACTGTAAATCTGACACATGCGAAACGTCTAAATATCCTAACTATCCAAGACCAACAGTCTTCTTCCAGTCACCTTTAAGTACAGCGTAATTAGTAAAATGAGATGAGGTGAAATCACACATTTGTGGGATATTTAGAAATCTGGAAACGTTCTGCAATGAGTGTTTTGCAAATGTAATACTGAAAGCATTTTACAACACATTTTTTCTTCTCCCATCAAACATATATGATCTTGCTTTACATTATTCAGTGGCAGCAACAGCCTTTCCATTTTGGTGAATATCTCTGGAACACCTTGAGGAAATATCTCATTAAGTACAAACGTTTGGAAACATCATTTCTAGGAGACAGGGGCTCTTTTAGGATGTATTTTCTATTTGTATAATACAGTTTGTTAATAATGTAAAACCATGAAGAGTAACAAGTAGTTACTGCAAGGAACAAGTACAGAATGTGGAGTGGACATAAAGATCAACATATGAAAATAATTGTACTGAACTAGAGGCTACTTGAGTATTGGTACCTTCCACTACTGGGTCCTACATTTACTCTGGGGACTCTAACAGCTGGATGTGGCTGTGTGGTTCAGTAAAGCCAGTCCAGGTCAGACATTGGGACAATAAATTGGAAAGCCCACACACCAACCATAGCGGGAATAATAAGGATTCCTTTAGTTTGATCTTCCTTTACTTTGATTTTAATGTGCAAATGTCACCTATTTCAGTTCACAGACAGAGAAGACGCCCGTCGGTCTGGTGAATTGGAACTTGCTCCTCTGCCTGCAGAGCGCACAACGCGCTCACAGTCCTGCAGGTTCCGTCTGTCGGATCCTGACGGCAAAAAGCAGATTGCTGCGTTGTTTTGGTCCGAGGTTGAGCGGTGCTGTCAGCAGGGCGTCAGTACAGCGGCTGGGTGACTGTGCGTCCTGGCTTTGCGCTCCCTAAAAATATCCCTCACCAAGTGCGCGGATCAAAGGGGGCAGCAACACTGAAACGAATCCCGCCCAGGCATTCACCAGAGGAGGAGCGTGCAGAGCGAGCAAAGGGCCCGCGGCATCCAGCCTGTGCAGACCGGAGGGACGCTCGCTCAGGTTTCAGAAACGCGCACTGACGGCTGACCTGCAGCACCAAGTGTCACCGCTCAGAGGAGGAGCAACGAATGGGACAAACGGAACGGAACGCAAAGGAATAACAGTCCGTCCCTGTGAATCAGGATCATCACTGACTCATGACCAGCTGCACCATGTCTCGCATTCTAACTTTTTTGTAGTTGCTCACATAAGGGCAGTTTGGAGACAGTTTGGAGAAGAAAAGGGGACATCTGCAGAAGTTTCCCCCCCCAACAGAGTGAGTCAGCCTCTCAGAAGCTTCAGAGCTACAGGTCGTCCTGCTGCTCTTCATCTGACAAACAGGGATTTTCGCGTGGATAAAATCAGAGTTACATGTCTAAGATGGAGGAGGATCAGAAGTGGGGAGTCGTAGGGAAAGCAGGTGAGGAAAGGAAGAGTTGCGTGAAGCAGCAGCAGCAGCGACCTTCAAAACAGCCGCTGTGGAGGAATTGGAGAGACTCGGCTGGTCTAACGGTTTGCATTGCGGTGTGTGTGCTGTGCCTCGGAGCCTGCGCGCTGGTTTTAGTGCGGAGCTCCGAGCTGCAGTCCAGGATAGTGAGTCTGGAGCAGCAGCAGCGGGACGCGCAGCTCTCTGCCTGGATGTTGTCTCTGGAGCAGGTGGAGCCCGTTATCCTGGGCAGACTGGACCAGATCCTGGAGGAGGTAAGCTTTACCCACACACTGAGCTTTAAGTTGATATTCATTAGACATGTGGTTTGTGCTGAACTGCCCCTAAAACTAACCCTTAATTTTAAACCTTAAATCCTGTGAAAGGATTCGAGGATCCTCCAGTTTATCATGAAAAGGGAAACTGCAATGCTTAATTTAAACGCTCTGAAGATGAATATTTTAGTTTGTGCTTTTTAAGTTACTGTAGTTTCAGGGACTCTGAGGTATTTCATAGGTTAATTATCGGCTAAATATGTGGATTATGAGGTGTGTAGGGGGGATTCAAAGCTCAGCTTCCTTAAACTGTGCACATGTTGCAATAAATCAGATACCTAATCGAAGGGTTTGATAGTTTCTTAATGAAGAATGTTTTCAGTCAGGACAGAATGACAACTTGAATTAAATTCTATGAAATTTATCAGTTGTTTCTTGTGGAAGAAGTTGTTCACATATAGTAATTTAGTTGATAAAGTTGGTGCTAAAAAGAGTTTTATTGCATTCTGTTGATTACTCTGACAAATTTTCATATTTGTATCAAAACTCTTAGTTTATTTGATCTTTTATAAGGATGTGCTGTTAAAAGAGATACCACAGTGTCTTTAGTCAAAGAGAGACACATTTAATATATGTTACTGCCCATCTCTTCTAAAAAAAAAAAAGTAAATTATGACTGAGCAAGCTGGCAATCAATGAAACACTACTATATATATATATATATGTATATATATGTTATCTTCACTGGGATCATGAGTGAGGAGCTCTCCCACGGTAGTCTTAAAGTCTCTCAGGGGCTGTTTTCTCTTCCTCCATTTGCTTTGGCCCAACCTTTATCATCCTCCCTCCGAGCACACTTTTTTCACCAGGGCCAGTATTATGTGCTTAGCAGCAGAAGGAGAAGCACATGGTGCCTACTGCAGGGGATGACGGTGGGATTGCATTGTCCATATGTTAGCCTGGGTCAAAATCTTTATTTAATTTAAAAAATGTAAAAAACTTGTAACTGCCATGATATTAGGCGAGAGCTTATTGGTAGTGTATTGATTCAGTTCATGTGAGATGAGGAGATAGATAAGAGTCTCATAACTAGAGTCAGGATGTGTTCAGGTCTACAGCCGGGATTTTAGACGGACTGAGAAGATGAGCCCAGGTCTTTTGAACCCCTATAAGTCTTTAGTCAACAGAAATGTACATTATGTAAGTTGTACACTGTCAATACTTCTTGAAAAATGGCACACCGACTTGCCCAGCACTTCTGTGCACCGTCCCAGTCCCTGGTCTCAAGATGGGGGTCTTTGGTTGTAGTCTCTGCACAGGCCCAATCGTAGCCGACCAGAGAAGCTGCACACGATCTCTGAGCCCAGGGTTCACCAAGAAACAGGTCCAACACTCCCCTCTAAAACCACGACCTGTCACTTTTATGTTTCGTTAGTGAACACATTAAACAAAGGAGATCCAATATGTCAGTGAGCTTTAGGATATTTTATTTGTATCTTTGACCTTGCCATAATCTGAGTGTGTGAGAGGAGAGCATTCAACACTGAGAAGTAATACAGTTTAATACGCTGAGTAAGAGGTTTAGATGTTGTCTTCTCTCATGTAAGTCTCCACTAATAGAGCATAGTGAGGTTGATGTACTAAGGACACAATCAAAGGTGCTGGTGATAAAGTCATGTTTTGGTGCCTGGCTCTGGAGCTCCTCCAGGGGGCCCAGCAAGGAGGATCTGTCTTCAGACGGGCCAGAGGTGATGCAGTCTGCCTCTTTGTTTAGCTCTGTCAGTATAAATAGTCAATATTAATGGGACACATGCACAGATGTGGCCTTTTGTTTATAGACAGAGAGAGAGCGCGAGAGAGAGCGAGATAGAGAGTCTGTAGTAGTTTCACCCAACAATGTCCAGAATTCAGCACTTTGTCTCCTTCAGTGATGATCTGCTACCTCTGTTATGGAAAATGTGGCCCGTTCCAGCAGCATAGACTTAGTCCTTATTGTTATTCCAGTCAGATTTAGAGTGCAGCTAAATCCATTAGTTTATTGAGAAATGTTTAAAGTGAATTTTGTTTATAGTCCAGATAAGAAGCTGAGTAGAGGTACTGGGTCTTTGCATCAGTCAGCCTCACTAGCTTCCTTTCCATAATGTATTTTATGTGCATTTTGAAGAATAACATTAGAAAAGGTTGAAATGTGAAAAAGGAATAATTGCAGAAGACCTCTCTCTATTTTTGTCTCGTAGATCGACAAAGTTTTGTCTGTTTCCTCTTCCTCTTCTTCAAGGTCTTCTAGCATTGGCAAACAACTACTTTTGTTTCCGGTTTCCTCTACTCATGTGTAATATGGTCCGCACTGCCACCTTCAGTCTTTTGAATTAAGATCATTTGAATAACACGCCTCATTTGCATTTTGTTAAATTTTCTGTTTTTGGAAACATGGCTGCTATTGCTCTGGGCAACATGTTCCTTCATTAGTACACACAGTTAAATTTATTTTAGACAGGCGCTCCTTTCCGTTGTCGACTTCATGTCTGAATAAGCCTCTCTCAGTGACTGTGGAGGGCAGCCCATGAGAAACACACATGTCAAAGTGACCTGTGTCTAAATGACAGAATGCAGTCACTTTGACAGATAGATGAAACAGCAAGGTGACATATCCCATGTTGCCAAAGAGCTTTTGACCACTTCAACATAGACCGACCTGTTGCAGCTAATAGATTACCAAATGTGTTGTAATGTTGCTGTAAACAAATTCTACTCGTATCTATGGTGTGTTTTTAACGATGTACAGTCGTCCTCAAATGTATTCATACCCTCCAAATAAAGAAGGAAAAAAACAGCTGTCACTGAAATGAGTTGAAATTGACAAAAGTAATAATAAATAAAACATTTATGCAAATCATGACATTGCTTTTGAATTTTGGTTCAGCAGAAATATTTAAAAAAATAACAACAAAATAAAAACGAGCAAACAAGCATGATGGGACCCGTAAACTAATATTTTGTTGAACAACCCTTTAAGCCAGTCACTGCAAGCAAGTGTTTTCTGTAACTCTCATTCAGACTTCTGCACCTGTTGACAGGTATTTTTGTCCCACTGCTCATCAGCAAAGTGCTCTGATTTGTCCGGGACAGTTTTGTTTGTTTTGTTTTTTTAATTATTCTTTTCAACCACAATTCAAAAGCAATGTCTCATTTCACTGAACAAGAATTTAGCAAATTTTTATTTATTATTACTTTTTTCAGTTTCTAGTTATTTGAGTGACTATTGTGATTTTGGCCTTTTCTTTAATGTAACGGTATCAATGCATTTGAGGACGACTGTATGTCTTCAGTGGGAATCTTGGAGCTGAGAGCCTCAGACAGAGCTTCATAAGTACACTGCTGCCCACTTAAATGTCATACCACTTTATACAATATCCTGTTTATAATCATAACATATCGAAGTCCCGAATCAGTTCCTATGTAACCTAGAGTAAAACTGCCCATTTATTGTGATGGAATAATTTCCTAATCCCGGTTTTTGTCATAACGAAATTCCCTGAAATTGGTTCCAGGAATAACTTTTGCTTGTGTACAGTCGTGGTCGGCTGATCGTCATGACTCACGGTCCGAGCGTCGGTCATGCGTGGCAGATTATCACACCCCTCTTGATAAGCTGCTATACAGATATACATAGGTCGTCTTAGCTGCAGTGACACAGCTGGTGAAATCTGACATAGTCGGCATCTAGCATTTGCTGAATCTACCAGCACTGCGGATCCACTGATATGGTTTTGTTTCTTGGGTTTTTTTGGGCCAATGCTGATGCCGACTACTGGTGGCCAAGAAAGACCGATATTTAGAATCGATAAACATTAAATGTAACGTTTTAACAACCTAACTAGGCTTCTTCAATAATAAGAGTGACTGTACCTGAATATGTCAAATAGACGCAGGAATCCATTTCCTAAGGTCCAGATATTAAAGCATTATTATTAATTACTGTTTTCGAGGCTCTGTTTCAGGGTGCATTCTAGCTTAGCCGCTAGCCATTAGCATAGCTTTAGCCACTGTGAGAGAAGCTAATTTCATGGTTTGTGGCAACAGCTTGTGTTTCTTGTTCATTTTTTGCAGTTTTGAATTGAGAGATATTTCTGAGACTACAGAGTAACTACAGACAGACAGAGGAGGCAGCATCAGACCTGATTGGCCATGGTAATCAGTCAGGCCAATAATCAGTCAATCCCTAATCAGCACTGGTTGCTGAGACGTCGATAGAAATGAAAAGCCGGTAGAGAGAAGGTACCAAATAAAGAGAAAGGCTTGGCTGGCTGATACCACAGAGTATACCACAATATAGCAGATTTCTGAAGCAGGTGATGGTGAGGAGCAATATCAGGAAGCAGCTGCGTTGTCATGCTTACACGCTCTGTGCTGTGAAACAGCTAAATGAAGGAACTGAATGTTTGGTTTGACCATTTCCAAAGTTTCACTGTCAGATTTAATGCACACATCCAGGCAAATTTCTTTCAAGTGTTTTAAAAATGGTCACCAACTTTGACTGTAAATGGGTAAAGTAAACAAGAAAACTGGATCTCTTTCTTTTTTGTATTAAATCCTACAAGGAATAGGATAATTGATGACCAACCTATCAACAAAAAGGATTTATAAATACTGTGCAAACCATTTAAAGGAGTGAACATGGTCATGAGAAAGAAAGAGAAAAAGAAGGAGGGAGAAGCACCGATCCAATTAGAGAACACTACTGAAAGTTATTCTGTGACTGAAGTAAACAGTGCCTCATTCATATAATCGGGTTGGTCCTCATTCATGTTACTGTTGCAATACAAGAAATATGATTAATTGCAAGTATTTTGCAATATTTAAAAAAAAAAAAAAAAAAAAAACTTTTTGCTTTCTGTACCAATGGATAACTTGAGGACATTCGTAAAAATTAATTACACTGTTTTATCATTTACCCTAATAGAAACATGTAAATGAGTACATTCTGTGTGTGTTTTGGT